TCTGTGCTACAAGGGTTTATTTATCCTATAATTAATCTTCCTTTTCTCTTTACAATGGTCAAGACAAATTGCCAGGTGTACCATAATTAAGAAGAAAAGCATCCTCAAGGGAGCTCTTGGCAGGCAGAAACACCGCAATGCAGGTGATGTCACTGGACACTTCTGAATACAACAGCATTTGTAGGATCTGTGGTCACACAACCATGCTCTACTTATGCAAATCTCATACTATGTTCCTCTTAGTGAAAAGGCAGGTGCAGTTAGTTCCTATCCATTTAAGCTTATAGCAAACATTCCCAAACAAACAGATAAAGCAAACAGGCTAAAATAAGGCCCAAACCTTTTTTTGTTTTGAAACTTCATAACATTAACCTGTTAGCTTTCATTTGGATGTAATTTTACTTGACACATTTGTGCATTTAAAACATATATCTCACAGAAGGAGCCACTTACAAAACAAGTTACAGTTTGTTAAAATTCATTTGAAAAAATTAATCAATCCTCAAGTATTATCTGTATTTTCTAGCTTTTTAAAATAGTAAATGAGACACTTTTCCAGATCATTTTACATAATCCAGCTAAAGCTTACTGAATTCTTAAAAACAGAGTTGATGTAGCAATGATCAAAGATGCCTGAAGATTTCTGAGACCTGAGGTATTAAGTTTGTGTGGTTTGAAGGCCTTTTAAATGACAGAATTATTTGTAAGTGAGCTTGATTTTGATTCCTAAATGAATTTTTCTTGGGGATGTATGGTTTGCTAGGAAAGAAAGTGTGGAATCTATAGTTCCACAGCATAACAGCCTGAGTCTTCCCTCCACAGGGGGCTCCAAATTTTGTGCTTAGCAATTCTGGTTAACTAAGGGGACAGGAGATCTATTAAAGACCTTTTCTGACTAAAGAAGTTTTAAAAGCAGAAAATGAATGGGCATTTAATGAATGTAACATTACATTCATGTTTTGATAAAGCCATACTTTCTAAGCCTCATTCAGCTGGCTATACTTCCCACTGTAGTGTTTGGAGGAAATTAAGCAGCTTTGTAGTCAATTAATAAACAGTTGTTGCATGGCTACTGTGTGATGAATCGATGAGTATATAGTGTATGAAATGACCATGCTTGCCCAAGATTGAAAAATTTACTTAAGGAAAACAAAGAGATTGTAGACAATCTACTTGAGGATAAGCAATTGCAGACTGAGGTACTGATAATCTGTTCTCTCTAATATATGTGCATTTGAATGCCTGTATGGTACATAAAGATAACTGTAGGATCAGGGAATTGATAGTGGGAATTCTTGGTTTAAATATGGTCAGGAGATTGACAAACAAAAGCTGTTGCAAATGTTTTAAGGTATGGTTAGATAAGGATTCTGCTAGAATTTAAAAATTCTAAAGAATTCTATAGAATTTAGAATTGTATACCTGAAGTTAGGAAACATTACACCAATGGTAAAAAAATGCCAGAATTTAACTTTTTTTCTTTAAAGAGGTAATACAACCAAATAATAAACAATGGCAAAGTTTTTAAAAAGCAGCTGCTAAAAGAAAATTAGAATCTGAAATTTAGGATGGAATTTGCCTATTTAGAGGTAAAGGTACAATACAGGATTGGGATCTAGTGTAGGAATTACATACTGATCAAGCAATAGCTGACCTAATTTGTGACCTTGGCTTAAATTTTTTAAATTATATTTTGCAAGGAACTTTTATAAGCCATTCAAGAAATGTTTTTTGACTCTACTCAGAAGCTTCTAGACATCATCAATAGCTATAGCAAGGTAGCAGTATACAAAATCAACATAGAAAAATCATTAGCATTTCTATACACTAACAATGAGCAAACTGAAAAAGAATGTATGAAAACAATTCCATTTACAATAGTCTCAAAAAAAATCAAATACCTAGGTGTAAACCTAACAAAGATGTGAAAGACCTCTACAAGGAAAACTATAACTTCTGAAGAAAGAGATTGAGGAAGACTATAGAAAGTGGAGAGATCCCCATGCTCATGGATTGGTAGAATCAACATAGTAAAAATGTCGATACTCCCAAAGTAATCTACATGTTTAATGCAATTCCCATCAAAATTCCAATGACATTCATTAAAAGATTGAAAAATCTACGTGAAATTTATATGGAAACACAAGAGGCCACGAATAGCCAAGGCAATACTCAGTCAAAAGAACAATGCAGGAGGTATCACAATACCTGACTTCAAACTATATTACAAAGCAATAACAATAAAAACAGCATGGTACTGGCACAAAAACAGACATGAAGACCAGTGGAACAGAATAGAGGATCCAGATATGAAGCCACACAACTATAAGCAACTTGTCTTTGACAAAGGAGCTAAAAATATACGATGGAGAAATAGCAGCCTCTTCAACAAAAACTGCGGAAAACTGGTTAGCAGTCTGCAAAAAACTGAAACTAGATCCATGTATATCACCCTATACCAAGATTAACTCAAAATGGATCAAGGATCTTAATATCAGACCCAAACTCTAAGTTGATACAGGAAAGAGTAGGAAATACTCTGGAGTTAGTAGGTATAGGTAAGAACTTTCTCAATGAAACCCCAGCAGCACAGCAACTAAGAGATAGCATAGATAAATGGGACCTCATAAAACTAAAAAGCTTCTGTTCATCAAAAGAAATGGTCTCTAAACTGAAGAGAACACCCACAGAGTGGGAGAAAATATTTGCCAGCTATACATCAGACAAAGGACTGATAACCAGAATATACAGGGAACTTAAAAAACTAAATTCTCCCAAAACTAATGAACCAATAAAGAAATGGGCAAGTGAACTAAACAGAACTTTCTCAAAAGAAGAAATTCAAATGGCCAGAAAACACATGAAAAAATGCTCACCATCTCTAGCAATAAAGGAAATGCAAATTAAAACCACGCTAAGATTCCACCTCACCCCTGTTAGAATAGCCATCATCAGCAACACCAACAACAACAGGTGTTGGCGAGGATGTGGGGAAAAAGGAACCCTCTTACACTGTTGGTGGGAATGTAGACTAGTACAACCACTCTGGAAAAAAATTTGGAGGCTACTTAAAAAGCTGGACATCGATCTACCATTTGATCCAGCAATACCACTCTTGGGGATATACCCAAAAGACTGTTACTCCAGAGGCACCTGCACATCCATGTTTATTGCGGCACTATTCACAATAGCCAAGTTATGGAAACAGCCAAGATGCCCCACCACTGACGAATGGATTAAGAAAATGTGGTATCTATACACAATGGAATTTTATGCAGCCATGAAGAAGAACGAAATGTTATCATTCGCTGGTAAATGGATGGAATTGGAGAACATCATTCTGAGTGAGGTTAGCCTGGCCCAAAAGACCAAAAATCATATGTTCTCCCTCATATGTGGACATTAGATCAAGGGCAAACACAACAAGGGGATTGGACTATGAGCACATGATAAAAGCGAGAGCACACAAGGGAGGGTGAGGATAGGTAAGACACCTAAAAAACTAGCTAGCATTTGTTGCCCTTAACGCAGAGAAACTAAAGCAGATACCTTAAAGCAACTGAGGCCAATAGGAAAAGGGGAACAGGAACTAGAGAAAAGGTTAGATCAAAAAGAATTAACCTAGAAGGTAACACCACGCACAGGAAATCAATGTGAGTCAATGCCCTGTATAGCTATCCTTATCTCAACCAGCAAAAACCCTTGTTCCTTCCTATTATTGCTTATACTCTCTCTACAACAAAATTAGATAAGGGCAAAATAGTTTCTGCTGGGTATTGAGGGGGTAGGGGGGAGAGGGAGGGGATGGAGTGGGTGGTAAGGGAGGGGGTGGGGGCAGGGGGGAGAAATGACCCAAGCCTTGTATGCACATATGAATAATAAAAAAAAAAGAAACGTTTTTTGAAAAACGTAGATTATTAAAATATATGAATGTAAATTATATTAATAAATATTGGGGTAAATCTCTGCAGAAATTGTCCAGTGATCATCTGTACGCCCTTTTCCATCTGTGTCCATTTTGACATTTAAATAACATCTGGGCAATTTAATAAATAAGCATTAATAAACAAAAAATTCCATTGAGATTTTATGGTTCTTTTCTCATTTTCTTTCAACATCATTCTGCATAATATTCTCTTAAAAATCCTCTTTCCGTGGCTTCTGAGGCTCTCAGCATCCTGGTTGTCCTCACCTTTTTCTGGTTGCTCCTCTTTGCCAGTTCCTGTCTGCCTGACCTGCCCTGAGCTCCTATTCTCTCTACCCTTCCCTTCCATACTGTAGGACTTCTGGCATCATCCCATCTACTCCATGGCTTCAAGCACCATGTTGGTGTCCACCTGCTGATCTGAGAGGTTGTCTGAACTCATCAACCTGACATATCCTGAAGACTATCCACACTCTGCTCTTCATCTAATCCTTCTCATCTCAGGTGTGCCCAGCTGATCATGTTAGAAAAACTTGATGTGCGCCTTTTCTCAACCAATCACCAAATCTTTTGTAATTTACCAAAACACCACTTCATCCACACCAACATCCTCTCTTGGTGGCCCTCCACATTTCAACTTCTTGCCAGCAAACTCTATTCACATGATGCAATCAAAATGATCTTTTAAAAATGCAAAGGTTGGGGGCCTGTGGCTCAAGTGATATAGAGTCCTTGTCTAATAAAGCCACCTGTCTTACTAAACTTTCATCCTGGTTCCCTCTTTAAGCCACCTCTTCTTATTCTTTTCTGGTGTCAATTTGGCAAGTTCTAGTTAAAGTGTATATAAAATGGCAAAAAAGAGAAGAAAACAGGAGGATAATGATGTTATAGGAAGTAAGAAGTGGGGAGAACATTTTAGAAAAGTGTGTGTCTGATTATAAGAAATGGAATAGACCAAAGGTTTCCCCCAAGATAGTCATCTCAAACCTGTCATAGAAAACAGGTGGGAAATTAATAAACAAAATATCTGGCATTTCCTTCCCCTTTAGGAACTTCTAGTTCTACTGACTTTTACCTGAGAGGCACTGCTGAGAAGAAACCCGTTTATTTATTGGGTTACAGGGGTAGACGCCCAGATAAAGTGGCTTCAGTTGCTGTGACAAAATCATTTCATTCAATTTTTTCTGTAGAATGAAATATTCTTCAGATAACTTTGATATCTAAAAAGAAGGTCATGGGTCAGATTAAATCAAAGAAAAGAATTCTAAGTGCTCCACTGGTAAATGGAGGTGACATGGGGTGGGGTGGGGTGAGGTGGGGTGGGGTGGCTGATTAATTCCTTATTGACACTCCCTGTGATGGTCATGTTCTTTCTCCAGGATCCACCCTGACTTTTGCACTCAGGTATAACAAAATCCTCACTTGACACAACCTTTCCCTTTGTTCATTGAAAATTGTTAAACACATCCTGCTACATGCACCATTCTATCTGGATCGAGTCCTTTCTGGGCCTCCTGAGACCTGCTTTTGCACTTACCATTCTGTTGTGACTGCCTCTCTGTTTCTATTCCAGGGAGCACCTATGCTGTCTTTGACTCTGTTAAGCCTCCCCTCTTCCTTTCCAGTCTTCTTAGCCTTACTTTAGTGCTACTTTGCTGGGTCTTCTCTTTCCAACCCACCTCCATGTGCCTCTGTCTTACAACACAATAACTCTCTTGCAAGGAAAGTGTGGATTCCATGCCCATGGATGGCCCCAGCCATCTCTCAGTAGATGACTTGGTAATTCTATTTATCCTCAGTATCTCAGTTGCACACAAGGTCTGGGTTCTAAGCCATGGCTTGATTATTGGAACAAGCAAATTTATACACCAAGGAAAGGAAGGATTACATGTACATAAAACTCACTATTTCCAGGTGATTAAAAAGTAGAACAGGAAGGCTAGGGAAATTATTCAATAGCCGATCTCCACTGAGGCTAGAGGTTGGGGATGCCTAGGCCTCACCTCTAGCACTAAGGCAGGGACCAAAGTAGTTCTTGTGCTTTCCTGGGGGCTCAGCCACCATCAGAGGAACAGAGTTTAAGTACTTAAGTGGTATTAAATAATCCTTCTTTGAGCTATTCCATCATAGCATTTCTTTTATCTCATATACCACTAATTTTCTAGGTAATTCATGCATTTCAGAGATGATCTAGTTAAAGTTTTCACTTTACACAGGATGAAGTAAAAGTGCTGACACATGAAATGATTTTCTTAAGGTTAAATGCCCAGAAAAAGCAAGCAGGAACCAGGATAAGTTGGTCCTTGTGATCTTTCCATGGCACTAATTTGTTGGAGGTTCGTGTGTCCCCATGAGATGTCCTAAAAGATATCACTTCCTATATTTGCCTCTAGAAGCAGCTGAGACAAACCTATGAGTTACATGAGCTATTCTCCAGGTGAGACTTTTTCTTTGTGCTTTTTCTTTATGATTCTTACTGTCCACAATTGCATACTCTCATGAGACTTTCATCTTCATCCAGCACATGCCTCACTATGGCTACATGTCTAGTTTTGATACCTTACTGTGTCTTTTCAACTAAAATTTGAGGCAGAGAGAAAACATAGACTTTAGAGTGTTTTGGAAACTTAAAAAAAATTTTTTTAGTGGTAGCCAAAGCTCTCACAGATCTTCTCTGCACTATCCAATCCCAGCATTTTAGTAAAGTATATAAATGGATCTCTCATGTCCTTACTACATAAGGTTTCTATCACATTTTATTGTATTTTTATCATAGTAACTTAGCATAGAAGTTCACAGCTACTTGAGTAGCATAATCCTCAAGCCATATTATTAAAAATGTCTCATAAAAACAGATAAAGCAATGTATTAGTTATTTATCAGCTATCTGTTTAGTTCAGCTATTGGGTAGTTTCCAGAGATTTTCACTAGTAAATAAAATGTTTACATACCTGTTTTGAAAAAATTCCCAAATCACATGCTTGTTTTTCTGAAGTTTCTTTTGAGTCTCTGTCATCCTTCATCTTGATATTTTGAATTCCTTCATGTTTTGTGGGACAGGAATACACATCGTGAGTGTTTTTTGCTACTTCTGTTGGTGTTGCAAGAATCTTTTGATTCTTAAAGGAAGGCGATATCCTGTCCTTCCTTAATTGCTGTCGTTGTTTAAAACCCCGGTATTTGCTCTGAATAAACACTGCAGCCTTGTCTTTTTCTTCCTGGTACTGTATCACGGGTCCAATGTGCTTCTCTGTGACTGTCCTGTGCTGCCAGTGGCCTGTCTCCTGACTGCACATGGGTGCATTCTGGGTAGTAACCACAGATGTCTTCTTTTCTTTTTCCGTCCAATTTGCATGTTTATAAACTGAACTTTGGCTAAGACTAGATTCCAAAGAAGCTTCATTCTTGGCTAACAAAAGCCCTGGGTAGCTCAACCTTTCTGATGTGCCCTTCTGTTCTAGATATGCTGCTTTTGATTCTTCAAAATTCCTTTCTTCCATGTACCTCTGGTAGTAACTCTGGCTCATCATGTCCTCCTTCTCCCCTTTCCTAATCTTACTGTTCTCTTCCAGGTCTTTGACATACTTCTTTTTGGGACTTTCTTCTGCCCAAGGGTCCCCCATGAGATAAAGGTTTTGATTAGCCTCTTCTTCATACATATTATTCATTTTCTTCTGAGTTTGATATCCTTTGTCATTAGTTTTGACAGCATTAATGGCTTCCCCTTCCTTTTTGAAAGTAGAAGTCTTTCCTCCAGGTAAACTTCTTTTATTATTTGGAGTGGGAATGACTGATTCATCAGTACACATTGCATTTTCTGTTTGTTTCTTCATAGAAGACTCCCTGTGCAAAACATATTGTGTCTGAACATATGATGACACCTAGACTAGAGCTTATTATTTCTTTTGACAACAGCTATGTCCTCATAATGTGGGACATAGCAAAACGAACAAAGAAAACTCAAAATAAAAATTTGTCAAGTCACATTCATCAAGTGCTTCCCAAAAGGTACTGACTACTGGGATGCTTATTCAAATAACAAGAAAACCAGTTTCAACTTAAGAGTGACAACTGGCTAGCATGTGAACAACCATACTTCTATTTAGTGAGATATCAAAATTCTCACAATTTAATCCCTTCAAAATATATCCTTTTAACAAGAAAGCACCTACAGTGATGAGATGTGGAAAATATGTCTCCTTGAAACCAGTGAGTATAGTATGTTCACTAAACTCACATACTATACTTCAACAAGCACTAAGTTTACTGATCATGGGAAGTATCTTGCAAAATTCAAGTTCAACCAGTGTCCTCGATACAGTTCATGATTGTGTAATACACTGGCCAAAATTTCACAGTTGCTACTTTGCCAATATCCTTACAAAAATGGTTTTCCCTGAACTTGAAGATAAGGAGATAAGGTTTTCTTAATAAACTTTTTTTTTTTTTCAGCCAAGGGCAAAACCCTTCCAAGAGCAACACAATCATGAAAAGGGTGTTTGCAGAGAGTAAAAAGTCATTGCTTGTCATTCTAATGCCTCTACTTGGGAGAAGTTTTACCCAAAATTTCAACTTGGGACAGGAGCCCATGGGAGTTTTGGTCTTTTGCAATCTGTTTGTAAAGAAGAACTCTTCTTTGAGTCAAACTTCAAAGGGTCCACTGGGCCTCTATTTTCTCTTTTTTTCCTTCTTTTATTCCCTCTTTCTCTTTTGACGGGGTCTCATTATGTAGCTCATGCTGGCCTTGAACTTGCAATCCTCCTGACTCAGCTTCCCGAGTACCAAGATTACAGCTGTGCACTACCACCCCTGGTTTATTTTCCTAACTCTACTGGCCACTTCTTAGGCCTATTACAGTATCCACAGGCTTTTATATGGGAGGCATAACAGAATCCTGGGTGGATCAGTCAGTAAATAAGGTAGGAACCGGGAATCTCCATAATTTTGAAGAGTAGCTAAATTAGTATTTTGAATGCTTCCATAATAACCCTCAACAATATTTATATTTAATCAAAATACAACTAATAAAAATGCAGTCTCTAAATGACTACATTCTAAAAAATCCATCATAAGCTGGTTTTGAAACTTTAATGTATCTTACTGTTGACACCTTCTTGAACACACTGTTGAAGTTCCCAGGTCCACTCCATATCAGTGATCTGTCTGAATTCATGGTACCTGGGCTACTGCAGGACTTGGAGGACCTAAAGTCTAAGTGCAGTGACACTTCCAGGGAGAACCTTTCAGAGCTCCAGCTGGGAGGACTGGGGATCTCTCCTGACACCTGCTGGGCAGGCTTGTGGGACTCAATCTTTCTCCAGTCTCTAACTATTGTTTTCTAGGCCACTAATCATGTGCTGCTCAGTGAAGGGAAGAGGAAAACAAGAGTTGCAAGTAATTGGGGGAAAGGAAAGCCAGGTTTTTTTTTTTTTTAAGGCAGAGTCTTGCTAGGTAGACTAGGCTGGCTTTGAACTCTTGATCCTCCTGCCTCAGCCTCCTGAGTGCCAGTGTTATAGACATGCACCACCCTGCCCAGCTGTATTTTAGTTATATTAGCACTAATTATATAAAGGAAGTTTGCCTTGCCTAAGTTTGCAATCTGAAGTAAAAAGAATTTCTGATCTGTTAACCAAACTAGTTCATACAAAATAGATAAATTAGAGGCCTTAGATGGAACCAGAAGTTGCAGAGGGCTGAGGGCTTCACAGCACAGGTTGTGGGAAGTTGGTGAGTACCAGGCCTTCCTTCCTTTCTTTCGCCAACCTTCCTCTGGACTTCCCTTGACTCCTTGCTTGTAACATTTTTAATTAATTTAAAAACTGATACATAAAAACACAAAATTGTACATATCAGATAAATTAGAGGCCTTAGATGGAACCAGAAGTTGCAGAGGGCTGAGGGCTCACAGGCACAGGTTGTTGGGAAGTTGGTGAGTACCAAGGCCTCTGCCTTTCTTTCGCACAACCTTCCTCTGACTTCCATGACTCCTTGTTGTAACTTTTTACATTAATTTAAAACTGATACAATAAAACAAAATTGACCTATTCAATGGGGAAGTGTGGAGTTTCAGTACATGTAAATATTGTGTAATCGGGTAAATATATCATCTTCTTACGATCTATCCTTCTTTATGGTAAAAACTTCAAAATCTTTGTGACTTTCTTTTATGTTGACTTTGTGGTCTTCCTTCTACGACAGTTAGTTACTAAAAAATGTTAAATTTCCCACCAGACATGTCAGGACAGTTTCTTATTTACTCAAGTACCCTGAAATGGACATGTACCCTGAAATGCACTTGCGTATAGTAGATAAAAAGAATCTACTAGATGGAAAATTAATACTTAGTTGTCTTCAAAACAGAGCTGGAAGCAAATTAGTATCTAAATGAACATTAGATTTCTTCATTAAATGTAATAACTACAAATAGTAATTTAAGTCTACAAGTAATAATTTCTAGAAGTACTAAAATTAGTCCATCTTTCTTTCATTTGCAACCAGTTTATATTCTCTCAGATTCCTGACATACAGGAGTCACAAGTAATATCCACCCTCCTGCTCCTGAGGTCACTCTGAAGTATTTCACAACTAGTAAAATGGGGAAATGAATCATTTGGTCTCTTATGGCCAAAGACAAAGCACATGTATGTAGGTCTCTGAATACACAAAGAGCTGAAAACACCAAATGCCTCTACATTTCAGATAAACATTCATGCTTGTCAAATAAGAAAATGAGATTGGCCTGCTGATGTAGGGAGAGTGCCAGGAAGAGGTGGTAGAAAACGATCTTTGAGCTCATTACTGGCCTGATTGGGGATAAAAGAGTATTAGATGTGGGTGAGTGGGAAGAGAAGGCCAGCAGCATCTCTTTCTCTCTCTTTTTTTTTTGCAGTACTGGGGCTTGAACTCAGGGCCTTCACCTTAAGCCACTCAACCAGCCCTATTTTTGTGAAGGATTTTTCAAGATAGGGTCTTGCAAACTATTTGCCCAGGCTGGCTTCAAACCATGGTCCTCCTGATCTCTGCCTCTTGAGCAGCTAGGATTACAAGCATGAGCCACTGGTGCCCAACTTCTTTTTTTTTAAATCCTATTTGTTCACATGGTCCTCCTGATCTCTGCCTCTTGAGCAGCTAGGATTACAAGCATGAGCCACTGGTGCCCAACTTCTTTTTTTTTAAATCCTATTTGTTCATCCTTTCCTTGTTCCAATTCAGATATTAAAGACAAAGAGTTTTGGGTTCAGGCTGGAATGATCTCTCCCTCCTTGGAGAACCACTTACTCATCTTTTGGTCAATTTGTTTCACCACTTAGGCAAAATCTACATATTTTCCACTTTCTTAATCCCTACTAATCAAGGCAGGGTTTCTTCCTCCTTACCCCATTCAAGCTCTTTGCAGATTTTTAATAGCAGAGTCAACTCATTTCACTAGGAAATATTTTCACATCGTATTTCTTTTCCATGACACCCTGATCAATGTAAGAACAAGGATTTTGTTTCATTAGTCTGTGTTCCCACTGCCTGGCACAACGCCTGCTGAATAAGTAAATTCAGGTGCTTCTGATAATATACACACCAAGGCTTAGAATAAGAAAAGGCAGCTGGTTATTCTGACGTAGGGATGGATGACATAATGGCTATGAAGGCCATGGGAATGAATGAGAGAGCCCAAGGACATTATTTAGTTAGGGAGAGGAGGCATTTTTATCAAGAGGTTGCAGAACTGCAGAGAGAGAGAGCAATCTTGTAGAAGGCAAAGTGGGAGTAAAGCGTAATCATCAATGTGAGAAGCCAACAAACTTCCAAAGAAGAAAAGAACAGAAAAGTGGCCCCTGGGTGTTCACTGACATTTGATGTGTCAGTACCAGGAACCTTGTTGGGTAGGAGAAAGACTGTGAACATTATTCTGTGCTTTATAGATTTGAATAAAAAACCTGTCAAAATGGTATAAGGCAGAATATGATTATACCTTTTATTTTCAAAGTTCTTCTTGTAGTCAAATTCCCGATCATGAGTCTGCATGGTTGTTACTACTGTGTTTTTCTTGTCAATAATTTCTTTTCTTTGTTTCCTGGCTAGATGTCCTCTTGTAGCTGAAGCACACAAGGCCCCAAACAGTGTTAATGTTAAGAAGTAAAAGGGCATTATTTCAATGAGTGGAAATAAGTAACTTAGACCACTAATGTCAAAGGAAAAACAGGGAATTAAAGATGCCAAATAGAATGGTTTATTTTGAAAAAAATGTGATTCATAGCTTTCTAGATGAAAGCTATGGCCATAGAACTAATGTACCTTTCACATTAAGGAGAGGACTAAACCTTGGAACTAAAATGACACAGATGAGCAAAGGTGATGGCAAAGCTTACTCCTCTGCTTAAAGTTTGTAGCAATTATTTTTCTTTTATTCTTCCTATGCTTAGCTGTGCACGGGAGAAGGTCCTTATTACCTAAGTGAGCCTTTTGGACATTGTGGTCAATTATCTGTGGAGCTAGACATATTACAGAATTCACAATTTTAAATTTCATTTTGTTTTAGAAGGGTAACATGGAGTGAATATATATTCCCCATGTCAGGGTAGCACCTCATGATCAAACTCATGAATATTTCCTCAGAAAAATAGAGAAAACAAAAGCAAAAAGAGAGGATATTTTAATTGTGTAAAATCAATAGAGGACTATAAATAACCTCACTTCATATGAGGACATGTTTCACTGCCAAATGAGTTATGTAAACCTTTTTTTCAGAGCCTTACAGATTTCAGAATTGTGTATAAAGGCTTAGATTCCAAATTACAAGATCTGCATTTTGATGTGCTAGTGAGAAGTTAATGGCTTAAAACTTCAAATAGGATGAGGCTCCGTTCAATGATTGATAGAACTGGGACTGGGACATGAATCTATTGAAGGTTAACTATTTCATCCAATGTTCTTCAGGACATGGCTGTGCACTAGAAGTGGATCACAAAAACTGATTTAGTGGACCTAATTTAACATCTAAAAAAGAAATGGAACAGACTACAACAGAAAATGTCAGAGTGCACTGCTTGTGGTGTGGGGTGTGTGTGTGTGTATTAGGTTTCTAAGTAAAATATATTGTGTCTGGCTAAAAAAATAAAATTGAATAACACTGTTCCAAGCCATGCTTGGCTCTAAATAGAAACAAAATTCAAATACATTTTAATAAAAATTTGTGAAATTAAATATGATTATAGATATAATTTCCCTAGAGTTAACAGAAAGAAGTGGATGCCCTTAACAAAATAAAATTTAATTAAGTTGTCAAAAGTTATGACAAGTGTAACCTTTGGAAAAGTATAGGAAAAAATCTCATTGTCTGTTGAGTTATCATACTGTAATATGATTCTTGAGATCTGTAATTAATTTAGTCACTTGTCATACCTTATACAATAGGTCAGAATTATTTCATTAATCTGTGCCAGAAAATTTAAAAATTATTTAATTTAAAACAAAATATTCATTCAAATATTAAAAGTGTCAATCATTAAAACCAATCTGATTTAGCATTTGTATAGAGAAAATATCAAGACAACACAGGCTTGAGTAAACACGAAGCTATATGAGAACTAGAGCATATAAGAAGTCTTACAAGTCTGACTTTAACCCAAATGTAAAGATCCCATTATGCTTTGTTGTAGTGTGAGGTGGTCTGAGTGGGTACCTGACTGTATTATTATAGCACTTTCTTTCCTTTTCTGCTGCATTTTTTGGTATCTTCTTGAACTCAAGAAGGCTCTGACACAGGCTTGTATCAAAATAAGCTTGTCAATGGCTTCCTTTCGCATTAGATTCAACTGTTCCACATGATAATATTTCAGGAACACCTAAAAAGAATTAAAATAAAATACAAATGAAACCATGGTAGGCAGTGAGAAGTGGTATGTGTGGGTGCTTGAAGAAAGACTGATGTAATCTCTAGATTTTATAAATCATAATGTCTTTTGGTTTTCTTTGGCTGTGATAGTAAAGTTTATGATGTTTGAGAACTTCCTTAGCCAGGGACGCTGATGGATTTACCTTGAATTCTAGCTAATCACCATTTAAAGAAGAATAATATCACCATCTTAAAATTTTCCATGAATGAAAGGGAAGGAACACTGCTACTCAATCTTTTGAAGCCAACAGCCAAGAAATACTCAGCAGGAGACTATAGGGCCATATCCTTACATGAACATACAGTGCACAATCTTCATAAAATACCGGCAAACAGAATCAAACAAAATATCCACGAAGATCATTCACACGACAAAGTAGGCTTCATCGAGGGGATGCAGGGGTGGTTAACATATGAAAAACTACTAAAATGTAAATACTAACCAAATTAGAAGAAGCACGCAACCACTTGATATCTCAATAAGAATGCATATATATAAGGTCCACAACCATTAATTATGATAACGCACTAAGAAACTAGGGAAATACGAAGGAAAGTACAAAAATCATCATTATAAAGCTATATAATGACAAACTCAGCCTAATACGTAATGGAGAAAACTGAACCATTCCTCTAAATAGGAACTGACAGGATGCCACTATTACTCCTATTCAACATAGTTGGAATTCTTAGCCGAGCAATATAGGCAGGAAGAAGGAATAAAAGGATACAAATAGGTAAGAACTGTCAAAATATCCTATTTGCAGATGACCATGATTTATAACATTACAGACCCAAAAAACTCTCTCAAGCTTAGATAATCAATAGCTATAGCCGCGCAGCGGTATAAAGTCCACATAGAAAAATATTAGCATTTTATTTATATAATAATGAAAAACAGAGAAAGAATATATGAAACAATTCCATTCAATAGCCGTCAAAAAACCAATACCTAGTGTAAACTAACACAAGGATGTGAACGACTCTAACAAGGAAAATTATAACTTTTGAAGAAAGAGACTGAGGGAAGACTAATAGAAAGTGGAGAGATTCCCCATGCCTCATCGGGATGGGTAGAATCAAATTGGTAAATGGGCTATACTAACAAAAGCAATCTACATAGTTTAATTGCAATTCCCTCAAATCCAATGAATTTCATCCCAAAGAGATTGGAGAATCAATGGTTAATTTATTTGGATAACAAGAGACAAGAATAGTTAAGGCCAATCTCAGCAAAAGAACATGCTGGAGTATACAATACCGACTTAAACTATAATTCAGAAGCAATACATAAAATACAGATGGGAACTGGCACAAAAACAGACACGAAGACCATGAACAGAACAGAGGAACATGGATTGATCCACAAACTATCCCACTTATTTTTCACAGAGGAGCAAAAATACGATGGAGAAAGACACCTCTTCAACAATGTTCTGGGAAATGTTTATTGCTGCAAAAACTGAATAGATACATGTTTTATACTCCTTTGTACTAAGATCAACTCAATAGTGGATTAAGGACTTAAATTGAAGTTAGTACAGGGAAAGAGAAGGGTACTCTGTAGCAATAGGTTAAGGCAGGACTTTCTCAATAGAACACCAGTAGTCAGCACTAAGAGAAACGGATGGACAAATGGGACTACTAAAATTAAAAGCTTCTGCACAATAAAAGAAATTGCTCTAAGTGAAGAGACATTTTGCCAGCTTACACATCAGCACAAAGGATGATAATAGAGGAGCTCAAAAACCTAACTCTCGCCAAATCATGGCCAATAAAGAATGAGCAACTGAACTAACGAATTTTTCAAAAGAAGAAGTTATTGAAAAAAGTGATCACTATCTCTGGCCATAGAAGGAAATGAATCAAAAACCAATAAGATTCACCTCACCTGTTATTGCTATCATCAACACACTAACGGTTGTGGCGAGGATGTGGGGAAAGGACCCTCATACCAGCTAGTGGGAATGCAAGCTAGTGCAACACAGTGGAAAAACATATGGAGGCTTCTAAATACTAAAATAGATGTCATATGATCAGCCATCCCTCTCTAGGGTTATACGCAAAGGAATGTGACGGGTTACTCAAGAGGCACTGCACACCCATGTTTTGCAGCGTATTCAAATAGCCAAGTTTGGAAACAGTCAAGATGCCATCCCTGCAAATGGATAAGAAAACGTGGTATTTATACACAATGGAATTTTACTCAGCCTGAAAAGAATGACATCTTATCATTTTCAAGTAAATGGATGGAACTGGAGAACATCATCCTGAGTGAGGTTAGCCAGACTCAGAAAACCAAAATTGTATGTTTTCCCTCATAATGTGGACTTTAGATCTAGGGCAAAGACAGTAATGTTGTTGGACTTGGGTCACAACGCTAAGGGGAGAGCACATACAGAGGAAGGGGGATAGGCTGGAAACCAAACTTTGAAAGTGTTTGATGTCCCCACTGCCAGAGGAATAATACTTACCTTAAAGCAACAGAGGTCAGTTTGGGAAGGTGCTGGGAGTAGTGAAGAGGTCAGATGAGATGAATAATTCGGGTTATAATATTTTTTGTACATGGAAGCAATGCTAAGATCTCTCTGTAACAGCTATCCTTACTCATAGCAAAAATGCTTTGTCTTTCTTATTATTGCTTATGTCTCTCTCTTCACAAATTGGAGAAAGGGCAGAACTGGTTCTGCTGGAAGCGAAGCTGGAAAGGGAGGAGTTGGGGGACAGGGGGAGAAATGACCCAAACAATGCAAGCAGATATGAATACATGAATAAAAAATTTTTTTTCTTTGAGAAGGAAGCAGAGGATGACAATGGTATTGCTTATTTGCCACGGGTAACTAGGTTATGTTGGATGGGACAATAATGAAGGAGAATGTTGGGCTAAGTTAATTTTTATGCTTAGTTTTTAAAAAAAAAAACAGCCAATGATATTTCACAAATTTAAAAATCTTACAAATTTATTGGTAAAAGCGAAGGCAATTATAGTTGTAGTTGTTCATTCAACAATTTTTCCTGGGAAAAAGATGGGTAGTTGGGAGCACTGTCCCTTGAGAACTAATAGTGTTGTCAGTGGAGGGAGGGAAAAGGCAGAGAGATGGGCCCAAGCACTTTCAACACTGTTCTTGTTAGACTCAAAGGCTGTCTTGGAGAAAGAAGGGTTGACTTTGGACCATACTAAAATCAACATGAGCCTGGGGAGGAACCTGAGGGCCTGGAGTGTTGTTCACATCTAAGAAATTTCAGTTTCATCCCATTCCCTAAGAAAATAGAAAAATTTTTTCTTTTAATAGATACATTTACTAATAATGGTCTCCTTGAAGAGTTTATTGAATCCATCAATAAAGTCACATTCAAATAAATTTCAATCTGTTTAAAAAGGTCATCATTTTTTTGCATAGCATTAGAAATGTTTTTATATTAAATACTTTTATCCATGTTAATGAATTGGAAAGGTGAAGTGGAAAAATACAAATAGCTTTGAAATGCTACTTAAATATCATGCAGAACTGGAGCAGCAAAGGGCCCTTTTACAAGTTAAACTCCCTTTGAAGTTAGGCATGTGTTTCCAAACATAAATGATGAGATTTTAGCTTGACAGAATTCATCTTTGTGAGAATCTAAACTCCTTTGAAGTTAGGCATGTGTTTCAAACATAAATGATGAGTTTAGCTTGACAGAATTCATCTTTGTGAGAATCTAAAAGAAATGGTGTGGATAAAATACCTATTTTTAGTGACCAGAACTTCCCTTTATTAATATTAAAGTAAGTATGAATATGTGGAACACTCAAGTCTAAGATAGACTTGGTTTTAATCCCTCAAATTGTTGCAGGACTAACACCTCATCTGAATATTATGAAACTTCTCTCCCTATACGCCTAACGCCGCAAGAACACTAATATACATTTGTTGCAAATGCAGTTTATTTTGGTACTGTTGTAGTATAGCTGACACAATTATTCTTGAATGGCCCATGTGTGAGTATCTCTTCACTTTACCTTGACCCTTCTACATTCATGCACACTACTACCTTGTTTATTTCCTCATCTCACCTGGTGATGCTACAAGGACAGCCGAGAAGTCCAACATCCCCTTTCTCCCAATAGTTACCTGTCATATTTTCATATTCAAGATTGGTTAAGATTTTTTTTACTTAAGTCTCTAAGGGATTAAATAAGATAAAATCTCACATGTTCTCTAAAGCTAAAAATAAACACACAAATGTAAATATTTTACTCAAGATAAATTTCAAGTTTATATTAGAAGCAATGAACCAATTTGGGTTATAATACATACGTACCTGGAAATGTCACAGTGAAACTGTATAGCTATCTTATACAAACAAAAAATCTCTTTTTAAAGAAGCAAAGAACAGGAAGGTAAAATAGTTGCTATCTGGGGTTGGCACCAGTGGGGTGGGGAGGGGGAGGAGGATGTAAGGAAAGGGCAGGGGATGAATACAGTGGAAATACTATGTACTCATGTTTGAAAATGGGAAAATGAGACCTGTCGAAACTGTTTCAGGAATGGGGTGGGGGTGGAATACAACTATGATATATTGTAAGAACTTTGGCAAATGTCACAATGTACTCCCAGTACAATAATAATTTTTAAAAAAGATAAAAAACCCTCAAATGAAAGAAAACCAGGAATCCTATTTAGGTGATTATGATTTTCTACAACTTCTTGGATCTATTTGGAGTGATAAACTAGAGAAAATAGAGTATATTTGTTGTAAGTTTTATTGTTTTTGGATAAATCATCAAGATAAATTTTTCTTGTATCACTTAAATCTTTTTAAAGAGCAAAAGTGATTAACTGTGATGAAGGAAACCTTCATGAATTTATAAACCTCTATCCCCATTTTAAAATAGTTATAACATAGCCAAACACAATTGTCCACATTTTCCATGAAAACATTACTTTTGTTTTTCCAAGAGCCCAGTTATCAAGACCAGCTTTTTCCAAAATGGTGGCACAGGTGTCTGGGCTAACTGGGGGCTCTTCACTTGACTTGTAGCAGAGAACATAGTACCTGAAAAATGGGGAAAAGGCCTCGTTAGTACTGTATGATGGATGGTCCAGTATCTTAGCAGCCCGGTGGTCACTTTACAGCTTTGTCCAGGGAGGGGAAAAGACTACCCAAATTTTCTTTCTTTCTTTTTTCCTGAAGTGTTGGCATTGAACTCAGGGTCTCATACTTGTGAGGCAACTCTCTACCACTGAGCTACATTCCCAGCCTAAGACTCCCAGGCTTAACGTTAACACAAAGGATCTTTGGGGCATTCTCAGAACAACTGTGGAGTAGACCAATTTCAGATGGATGGAAACCTAGATCAGTCTATTTGTATAAATATATTATTTCACATTTGTGATGACTTTTCGATGTGGAAATCCCACACAAACACTGTCATGCAAAAACAAAACAAAGGACAAAACAACTAATTTTAATATTAGAGGACTTGTCTACTAAAAGCAGGATTTCAGTGGCAGGAAACAGAAGGAAACCTTTTATTTATTTACTTATTTGTTTTTCTCCTTCACAAAGACACTGGAAACTGACCTTCAAGTGTGTGAAGGAGTTTAACTCTACTCAGCCTTCCCACCACACATCTTCCAACATTGTTCTTCCTTGAGTTATACTGTCACTTGCTGGAGGTTTTGCTCTTATTATTTTTTTTTTTTTCTATTTCAGAAGGTATTGAGACTCAAACTCAGGGCCTCATGCTTGCCAAACCTCCAGTTCTTTTTGCTCTGCTTATTTTGGAGATAGAGTCTTACTTTTTTGCCTAGGCCTGCCTGGTCCATGATCCATATTTTTTTATGCTTGGTGTTGCTGGAGTGACAGGTGCCAAACGCCCAGCTTTTTTTTTTGATGTGGGGGGTCTGACAAACTTTTTGCCCAGGTTGGCCTGGAACCACCATCTTTCTAATTTCAGCCTGCCAAGTAGCTTGGGATAGCAAGACTGAGCCACTGTGCCTGGCAGGTTTAGTCTTATTTCTGGAACTTTCTGTTATTCAGAACAGCTATTCATGTGTTGTCTATATACTTAGTTCCCCCCCCCCACCTTCTCATTTATCATGTAGTAATTTGCTATTGTCTAACAGCACAGGACTTGAAATATATTTAAGAATTTATTCTCAATTCTGAACTCATAAATAAATAAATTACTTTTTTTGGTGTTACTGGGGTTTGAACTCAGGTCTTCATGCTTGCTGAGTGGTGCTCTACCACTTGAGCCACACCCACAATCCAATAAGTTGCTTTCAACTACAACATTTCAACACAATAGACTTAGTTCTCCTTATTGTCCATACTTTTAATCATAATTGTTTTTGAAAGTGTAAACTTTGCCTGGAATTGAAGGCTCTCTCTTCACAATTTTAGCATAACTCTTTTTCTCATTTTTATCTCTGTCACCTCACTAATGCCCACTCTGCAATCGAGTGTAATCCAAGTCTTTATAGTTTTGGGATACCAGTTTATACACCAAAAACACTCCTTGCTATTTTCCCCGCAAACTGTACCTATTAGCAGATCTCAGTTTGAGCCCCTCTTCTTGATATCCTTTCTGGCCTCCTGAGATATTCATTCCCTCTCCTGAAACTCTTGCACCGTGCACACCGTTCACGGTGGATGTGGCATCTGTTGCCTTGTGTTGCTCAGTAACTTCCCATGTCTATGGCTCTGATAATGCTAAATGGATTGTCAGACCTTGAAGATCAAGCCAGTTTTAAAACTTCATGCCTCCCAGTTCTTAGCCCACTGGACACATGTACACATACATACACTGAAATTTAAGTGTGTTTATATTAATATTATACTAATAACATTTATATTGATATATAAGAAAGTTACCAGTCTGCTCTTCTCCTAAAACATGAAATGTGTGATAATAAGGTCAAATTTGAATTTGAAACTTCTTTTATCTAGTATTTTCAGGTTACCTGCTCTCAAGGAGAATTTATATACTGGCCAATAAGAAATTCCACTATTTCTTAGCTTGTATACAAAACTGAGTCTGATTTATAGGAAGTAAAATCAATTAAATACTGACCAAAGTTTTGAACCCTAAAACTTACAGTTTTAAAGCTAATCTTAAGTATCTAAAAGTTCTAATGTAAAAAGTCACAACACTGATGTCATTTTGCTGTACAGGAAAAGTGACAAGTTGTTTTTTTTTATTTCAAGGCACTCCAAATGACTACCTTTCTTTTCTTTTCCAGGCCTCTAAGGAAAAAAGAATTTTTGAAAATATGAAAAAAAGCAGAAAGAATTAAAATTCTCATTACATATATTAGGGTCTTTGCTACTGCAAGTAAAATAATGCACGATACAAGACATGACAATTTTTTTGTGCACGTGGAGTCTGAATCACAGTTTGTTGTACAATCACAACACAGGGCTTTGTTTTGTTCTTAATACTCATCTATTTGAAAAAGTTTAGAGAGTGTTCTAAATGATAAATTTTTTAAACTTAGGTTTTACCTGAAAATTGTAATAGACTTCCTGTTTGAAAGTTGACATTTCTTTAAATTTAATGACCATTAGAAATGATAGAATTGATAACTATCAGAAACATGGGCATTAAAAATATTAATTACATATATAAACTATTACATGACTATCAATGTATTACTTAAGACAAGGTGTGGTGGATCATACCTTTAATTCTATCTACTTGGAAGGCAGAGACTGGGAGGACTGCAGTTTAGGGTCAGCCTGGGCAAAACATTAGTGAGACTCCATCTCAACAAACAAGCCAGGTGGGGTGATACACATCTGTAATCCTAGCTACAATGGAGATGTGGGTAAGAAGATTGGTCCAGGCAAAAAGTGGTAGAGTCTATGTGAAAAATAATTAAAGCATAAAAGGGCTGGAGGCATGATTGAAGTGATAGAGAGCATGCCTTTGACCAAGCATGAGGTCTTGAGTTCAAACCTCAGTACTGCATTTACTATATAACTTAATTAATTTTCATTAATCTCAAATGTTAAGAAGAATTCCCTAGCACTGTTGACATTTGGGGATGGATAATTCTTTGTTGGGAGGGGGGGGGTTACCCTGTACTGTGTAGAATGGGCCTCTAGTAACCATTCTACTAAGTACCATAGGACTACCCCTTCCTGATGTTACAAACAAAAATATCTCCAGACACTGTCAACTGTTTTTTGAGGTGCAAAATCTCTTTTAGTTGAGAATCACTGGTATGAGTTCATGGTCAAATAACAAATGGCAGAGCTGGGATGAGAACACAGATTGTCCAGCTCCTCAGTACAGAACCGCATACTCTTAACCGCATGCCACTGACATATCTTCTGCTACCACAGAGCATCTCCCAGTTGAGGACAGTCTCCCGGCTTCAATTAATAGCTGTCTTCTCTTTTTGATGCATGAACAAAATGCCCTTCTCCAGGACCACCTAAATAATTCTTTTCCTATTTTGTCTGCTGTAATTCTTCTGATGAGTTTTTACATAGACTTCATAATGGAAACTTAAAAAGAAATCCACATACCGCTTAATAAAGTTAGCAAAGAGAATACGATGTGAGTATCCCAGCCTTCGAATTCTTGCTGTTTCTAGAATTCCCGTGCAGCGAAGCTGTAGCAGGACTTTCTCTTTGTCATATTTTCTCGCCTGGCGCTCATTATTGGGTTTGATGCAACGGACAAAATGAGGCTGTCCCACCACCATTTTAGATAGCAAATCCATCAGGGAAGACTATAATATGCAACAAAAATAAGTTTCCCATATAACATACAAAGTCTTAGAAGCTTGAAGATATTTCTTTCTACTGTGAGGATAAAAGTTTTTAAAAAATGAAGTTACAAATGCTTGTACTAACCACAGCAGCTGCAGGGAAAGATCTCCCTCCTTAATGAAAATTTTACTTATACTATATTTAAAAAATTATAGATTTACTGATGAAAAATGTAGAGATGGTAAACTAGGAATCTGGCTATTAAAAGTTTGCCTATAAATTCTTAAGATGCCCCATTACTGATGAATGGATTAAGAAAATGTGGTATTTATACACAATGGAATTTTATTCAGCAATAAAGAAGAATGAAATTTTGTCATTTGCAGGTAAATGGATGGAACTGGAGAACATCATCTTAAGTGAAGTTAGCCAGGCTCAGAAAGCCAAAGGTCACATATTTTCTCTCAATGTGGAATACAGACCCAGTACAAATACAAGCAATATTATGAAAAACAGATCACGCTAAGGTGAAGTCACACATGA